GGACTATCCAGACTGATCTGTCCCCTACCCTTCTACAATAAAAGAACTAGGAAGAGCTAATGTGGAGGTTGCAGCCCTACCACTGTGTTTAATCCCCACAGATGAACCTATCCTGCATGAATCTGTCTGATCCTTTTTCGAACCTATGTAAACTGTCAGCCTTCACAGAATCCTGTGACAATGAGCTCCGCTATACATTGCATGAAAAAACTTCCTTATGTTTGTTTTAAACCTGCATCCTAATAATTTTATTGCATGTCACCTAGTTTGGAAAAAGGTGGGAAATAATTAGGGGTGCACCAATACAGATTTTTGGGATCAATACCGATATCCAATTTATAAGGAGGCATATCAGCCAATATCGATCCGATTTCTGATCCAGCATGGAGAGCTGTGTGCAGCTGGTAAGTCTGTTGTGGTGGAAAGGGAGAGGGGGAGGGAGGGAGGGAGGGAGGAAGGGGCATTTGGGGGGGGATGCAGATCAATGCCACTGCGGTGAGGAAGAATAGGGCTGGGCAATCCAGCCAGGGCAGGGCAAGCACAGGATGGAGCCACAGCTCATCCGGAGGGCGCAGAGAGGAGTGGCTCCCACCGCTGTGCACACCCTGGGAGTGGACAGGAGGGGCACGTGCCCTCAAATCTGCACAGGCGGGGTGGGCTGCAGCTTCAGGCTGGGGCCAGGGCTGCATTTGGGGCGGGAAGCAGCAGCAGCACTGGGAAGAGCATTATGGGGGGGCTGCATCCCTCCCCAAATTCACCACAGCACCCTCCCAGTGCTACCACCACCCACCCCAAGCACAACCCCGGCCCAACCCCCACCCTCCTCAAAGGGAAGAACCCAGTGCAGTCCTGGCCCCAGCCTGTAGCTGCAGCCCAACCCACCCACACCCCATGCAGATCTGGGGGCACGCACTGCCCCCCACCCTCCTGGGGTGCACGCAACGAGAGGAGCCACCCCCCCGCCACTCAAGCCCCGGATGAGCCGTGGCTCCATCCCACACCCACACCGCAGCACTTGCCCCAGCCCCACTCCCTCCCTCACTGCAGGGGCCACTGATCTGCACCCCTATGCCCCTTCCCTCCCCCTCCCCTTGCACCACAACAGACTTAACAGCTGCACGCAGCTCTCCATGCTGCCAGGCTGCGCTGTGGCTGCATGCATGTATGGGCATTTATCAGCCAAATTATTGGCCTCATCAGGCCAATTTCCGATACACTCAATTTTCTTTATATCAGTGCTGATCCAATATTGGACCGATGTATTGGTGCACCTCTATAAATAATACATCCGTGGGTGGATCTCAGATTTTGAAGGGGGGGGGGGGGGGGGGGGGGGGGGCAGGGAGAGTGCAAGTGATATGGTACATCATCCCATAAAACAGCATATATTTTTTTCCAATTTCCAAGTAAAAACAAATGCACCTGAATCACTGAGGGGCTGACTGCCAGATCCAAATTGGGCAGGCATCTGGTGCTGGGCAGTAGGTATACCTGTTACACTCTGTCTGATCACAAATGGAACTCCTCCCTGTACTCCTACACAAGTCCCCCAGACACTCCACCATGGCCCCAAAGTGTCCCACACTGCCCTTTATATGCTCCACCTGCCACCTCAAATTCCCCCTGCGTCTACTCTGTCCCCCATTATCCCACATATTCCCATATTCAGCCCCACCCTATCAAACCCCAAAACCATCAGACCCCATAATCCCCCCTCATGCCCCACAGAGGCCTATGCTACTCAATCCTCTCACTGCTCCTATGAATCCAGTATACCCTACACCAGGGAGCGGGCAATTATTTCAGGCGGAGGGCCGCTTACTGAGTGTTAGCAAACCACCAAGGGCTGTATGACAGGCAGCCAGGGGCAGATAAATATTAATTTTCTAATTTTTTCAGGGGCCCCCTCGGTCCAGATAGAATGGCCAGGTGGGCCACATTTTGCCCACCCCTGCCCTACACTGTTGATACTAAATGGGTCAGGGGAGTAAAGATTGGCAGAAATCAAGTAGATAATAATAAGCTATGAAATCTATAGACTCCCTCACTCTACCTGAATAGAAATTCAGCTGTCCCTACCAGGCAGTTTGTTTTAAACTTTCAGTGGATCAGGAATCAAATGGGGATGTGACTGTACTCCTTCCCCCACCCAATCCACTCCTGAATATATCCCTATTTACTTCCTTCATGCCACTCATTATTTTATTTTATGAACCTTTATCATATCCACTCAGTCATCTTTTGTCTACGCTGAAAAGTGCAAGCACATTTAATCTTTGCTTATTAAAAAAAAAAAAAACTTCTCTATGCTCTCGATCATCCTTATCTAATCTCATACATACAGCACAATTGAGGCTTACCTTCAGCCAGGTATAAAAAGGAAACCAAATTAGGAATATTCATCTCAAGTAACTACTGGTTTAAAGCTCTCAGTCACAAAATTATCCCTAGGCAGGTATAAATATTTCCAAAATGGGAAATGGGGCTCCATATATGAATCAAGTTAAGAACTTGCATAAGTGTTTGCAGTGCTGAAGACATAATATTTACAATAAGATAGTGGTTCTTTCTACCACAAAAATATCAACTCCAAGCATTCCTAGAGCTGTAGCTGAAAAGGCTGCAGCATCAACCCTGCAAATATAACAGAGCACCACAGGGGAACAGGATCTGTGCAGACACTGCTGTACAACTCGGGCTAAGCGAAGGAGCCAGGGAAAAAAAACGACCCCTGGAACCATAAGGCTGGAAGATCTGGAAGATGGGGAGAGGTACTGCCCAGCCACCTGCATACAGAACTAGGTCTAATCCTTGCGGCTCCACAGCAGTCTCTCTCTCTCATGGAAATAAAGAGCATTTAAGTTAGGCTTCCCTGGGAAAAGAACCATCACAGAGAGCAGAGTGACAATGCAGCACAAAACCGAGGAGCAGTTTCCAGCCCAGTGCTGGCGAGAGCTGCAGCCACATAATCGACGAGTTTGGGGATATCTTTAAATGAGGCCCTACAAGGCTTTGCAGAGACCGAGCACTCAGCCAAGCCAAGGCATGGCGAGATCTGCGGCTAGAAAAGGAAGCTCCTCGTCTCCAGGAGCCCTTCCATGGGGCCTGGCCAACCCCAGGCAGCCCATGCACGTCCCGCGCCCCCAACATGATGTGTGTGTGGCAGGGGGAGAAGCAACAAGCTCCCCACCTCCTCAGCCGGGGCCTGCCGAGGTTCAAAACCCCCATACAGGGATCCA